ATCATTAGCATGCACGGTGCTGGTCTCGCGAATGTAATTTGGACACGTCCGATGACTACAGTGGTGGAGATTTTCCCGAAGCCGAAGAAACGTTGGGGTTACCGAAATATGTGTCAGTTCATGGGTTGCGACTGGCACCAATTTCGCGGTGGTCAGGACATTATTTTTAACAAAGACGACCTAAACGATGTGAATAAGGTCATCCCGTACGACGAGTGGATGGCTTTCTTCCACCCGTTATTCCAAAAAGCCTATGGCGCTTTTAACGAGCAACAAGCATTGTTACGCGGAGAAGCATCGTAAAAATAGCGGTTATTTGCGCAGACTATATACTCCAGCTTTCACTAAGACTTGGATTCTAGACCGCCATGGAGGATGAACAACGCGAGCATTGGCTTATTTTGACGAAGCAGTAAAGCGAAATAGTACGAATGTGACCTCAATCAAGAAGAAGCCCTTGGTAAGGTTATACTTGGAGTACTTGAATGCAGGGCTGTAGAGTGAATGAAGCGTTACTCTCTCTTTCTTACGTTTGTTCAAGTACTTCATTAAACCATATGTGAATTGCATTGATATATATTCTAACGTTGACAATTACGTGTCGGGGTTTCTAATGTGTATGTATGTGTGTTGCGAAGTATTGCAGGTGCTAGCGTCGTAGCAAGTTCTGAATTGGCAGTAGCAACTTAATCTGCCTCAAAATAAAGTCCTTCAATACATGAAGGTCTCTTGAGTATTAGCATTTGTGCTGGTGGTACTGAGTGATGTTGATGTTGTTGTGCACCTGTGCAATGTACTGCTTCTCTTCGAAATGCAACGTGCACAGGTGGTCGGTACGTTCGTAGGCCGGACGTGCACAGCTTTCCATGGCGCAGCGCTTGCCACCACCGTGGGCCCAGCAAACACCGTTGGAAACGGAGATAGTTGTGCAGCCAAGGGAGGCGCAGAGTGTACCACCGCCATGGGACCAGCAGACACCTTTGGTCTTGGCGCGGTTGGCGCAGTCCGGGACCTTGCACTTGACCGAGCCACCGTGGCGCCAGCAGCGACGTGCATGTTTGGCTCGACTTGTGCAGCCGTCAATCATGCAGTACTTGCTGCCTTTTTTGACGACCGTGCCATTTGCGAGCGCTATTCCAGCCTTGCCTGATACTTTCGAGCTACCATTGGACACACTGATATTCTGGAGCCGGCGGCGTTTGGCGATTTTGCATTGACCAGAGGGAGGTGCCAGTACTGGAGCAAATGTCTTGTTTGATGATCCTCGCTGCGGCGAAGTCCATGGGAACGAAGGCAACAACACTGGCTTCGCGATGACCTTGTCGTTTGACAGGATGAAATCAAGAGAGCACTTGTTGACCGGCTTTGATTGCAATTTTGGTTTGAGGCCAAGCAGCTGTGGCATCTCGATGAAGCTTTGCTGGGAAAGCGGGAGGAATGTGCGGAAGGACATCATTATGGCGATATAGGGAGGGGATCGTTGTACTCCTGTGGTAGAGTGGAAAAATTGAGATGTGGGATTTCTGAGCAGTGGACGTGAGATCACCGAGAGCATTTTGTGTGCTGGGTTGACTAACTGTTCAGTCGCGAAGGGACCCGAAAGGCGTTGCTTGACATGGAATATTCCACTTGACATGCGTTATCGGTTCCTGGCGTCCTTTTTGTTATCGCCTGGCCTCGTGGTGTCATAAGGTCAGCAGCAACCGTGCCGCTCCAAAAACTAATATGCATCCCCGACCACAACAGACAAGGCAAACGGATGCCTCGACCGATAAAATGTTACAATCAGTGTCAACCCTTCTAGTCAGGAGCATGCTCGGTGTATTGTATATCGACATGTATCGCTTGGTTTCTTCCTCCTTATCAGCGGAAGCAGTTTCTTACGCGCTTTCGTAGACCGTTTTTCTCTTGTAAGTAGAGGTCAGTCCAGGTCGCTGTTGGCAGGGCGAACCAGACTACTTGGTCGCGACTGGTGCGCTATTTGTCTTTAGTATTGTGCGCGAAGAGGCACGAAACTGAACTTGAAGTTATAGTACCACTCCGACCGTTGAATCGTACAGCTTCACGTACATGTATATCAAGTCAACCGTAACCTGGGTCGTTGAGACAAGAGACACGAAAACGATACTAGGGGCGAATCAGCAAACTCCATGATTCTGGTGTGCTGCCTAGGGGCAAGTTGCAAAGTGTGTGTCATGTTTCCAGCCAAAAACGAAGAAGGTGCCAACTTAATGATAGGCCGGTCACAAAAGTCGCAAGTAAAGAAATTGCTTTGTGCCAGGAATGGCTTCATTATTAGCACATACGGGCAAAAAAAGTTGGAGAACCAGCATGTTCGCATGAACAGCAGGCTGGAACAGGATGATCTTCCCTGCGTCTAGCAATTGAATGCTAGTTTGTAGAGGATCGTAGCTGCCTCGCTCGCCATCGTTTTGGTCAGTCGTGACCACTTATTGTGAAGCCATTCGTAGATCCTGTAGGTAGCCGTTACTAAGCTTGTGCTTGGAATGTGCAAGCTGACCTCCTTGAAAAAGTCGTCGTACGTGACCGCGCAAGCCGTTAAAGTCCTTTTCTTCAAGTTTCGACAAATGCCTCTTCCTGACCCGATATCTCATTTCTCATGGGCGCATATACGCAGCAGCTTCAACCAATTCTCGAATTTGAAATGCCTTCGCACTGGACGCAATCAGTGCTGATGTGATTGCCGTGCTATCATTAATTCATTAAGCTTCCTGTAGCTATTCCTAGGATGAAGTGACGCTATGAACAATGACAAGATGACTTGTTTGTTGGTTTGTTTTCGTATGTAATACGCAACGTTAATTGCACTTTGCCAAGCTGAACTTTTGTGGTCCGACCTCAGCTCAGAAAACTGAACCTTGAAACGACCCGAGCACGATGTCTTCTTAAACTGACAGGCGACACGGAAAGTTTCCTACAGGTTTTGTCTATAGTCTTGCGGGACATCGGAGTGGTGACAGCTTGTTGTTTACTTCAGGAAGGTAGAAGTACAGAATAAGCGCTTCGAAGATCCACGAGACTCCGTGCTGCTCTAGCGCAGTCTTTTGTGTCTTAGTAAATCTGTTATTGCCGAGACAGCTCTTGGCGGCACTTTGACTTGAGATGCAAGTTTTGTGGCATGTCCGGACTCTCGATCCAAGAAAATTGTTTTGCTCCTCATGCAATTTCTCGTTCTCCTATCAATATCTGCAACGTCTTTTCGAAACGAAGCAGCTTTTGTGCGTTGTACCTGCCTATGTAGATGAATTCATATGTCAAGAAAGATTTTCTGGTTCTGACAGACGGGAGGTGTCGACGGCTTCGTCTTCGTCGTGAGACGTTAGTAAGTAGGTTGTGGTGACGGACGCAGATGAACCTGACCATTTGCACGAAGAAAGTTATACGGACGAGAAACCCGCTTCACCCTTCGTTCTTGTATCGACCCAAAAACGTACGAGTTTATCTGTTGGCGACAAACATTTGCGTCATCATGCACGACCTCCAAGAAGTAAGTCCTTTTTGTCCATACGTCTCCAGTGGGCTCAATTACTGATCATTACTGAGGACCTTGTGCCTGTTTCTGGAAGCGTGCGTGCCTTACATGAGCAGAGAAGCTTTTACAGAGAACAAAACGAGGAAATACGTTGCGATATATTCTACTCCAAAAAGTAAGTAGGCCGCTCTGTCCACACGCTTTTGCGTGGATCCTACTCGGTTGCTCGATGCGACTATGACAAATTGTTGTCGCTAACTAGCTCAGGACACTGTCAGGTATTTATTACTGCTCGCTGGTCTTCACTGCACTATCTTCCAGAACCTCCTCCTCTGCCCGAAGCCCTGACTTGTCAATGATTCATATCTACTACGCCGGAATCTACATATATGACTATTGCTAAGTGCTACCTACAACACAAATCCAGTGGTGTAATATGCAGTACCATTCATTCTTAAGCAACTCTTCTTGACGTTCCTGACAATGATCGATGCCCGATCACGAAAAAAATCCCTATGCGAGGCCTATTCAAATGGTTCATTAGATATTCCCTTCATCTCGTCCACCATATCGGGGCGTCAGACAGAGGACTGGCTCAAGGCCGAAAAGAGTTTTGACGACGTTTGAAATATTTTGGAGTTGAACGGGCTGACCGGCGATGCTCTCAACCCAGCTACTACGAACTACAAATACTTCAAGTACTTTGAAAATGCTAAACGAAAGCAGCTGGTGGAAGACCTTCTGCGCAGAAATATCTCCCCACACAACGTCTGGAACGAGATGAAGCTAGATGACTCATTAACTCGGAAGACGACGACGGCTTTAAAACGTTTCAACGCTATGCAGAGATGAAGACAACAAGTTGCAGTTAATCAGTATAATGATAATCGTGGCCTAGATATTGTCATTGACGTTAGAGATGGACATCAAGAGCTGACAGTAAATGTGGAAGTGTGGGTTAAGTAAGTCCTTTGTGTAATCGATTCACTCGCAATGGCGACGTTTCGTAATGAAGCAATACTTTACCATGTTGCCACCCAGAAGTTTTATGAACAGAAATTTCAAGTTGTTATGAAGCATACACCACCATTACTATCAATGCTACTGAGGATGACCATTTGGAACGGATGCGGCAAGAGCTGGCCATGCTATCGGTTTTATAAACAGCTTTAAGGTGGACTGTGGACTTTCAAATGACACGATGACAGCGACCTGCTAGCGCAATCGTAATGCTGCAATCATAAAAACTTCCATGAATGTGTAGCTATCCGTGGATAAGTAATGACACCTTCATCGCATTTGTTCAACAGATACAATAGGAACGCGGAAGCAAACAAAACGGTCACTTTACCCGGTACACTTGGTTGTATTCCGGGCAGCTTCAAACTCTCGAGTGATGGAATTATTTAAAATTTGACCTTCTTATGGTTGTTATCGAGATGTTGATTGACATGCAGATACTCCAGCTACATGTTAGCTACAGTTATTGTTTTTGCGTAACTTGATCTCAAGTCCGCTCATGATCCACTTCATCGTTTACGTCCACCACTAACTCCGTCTCCTTCTTCACGTCTGATTTGGTGCTCTCGTCTTCATCATCAACGCTGCCATTCGTGCTACTTTCGTCGGCATTCTTTTCCTGGTGACCTTCCTTTTGTTCTATCTCATCAGCTTGATCGGTTTGGTGCTGCTCTTCCAGCTCATTCGGTCTACGCTCTTCTTGAACCTCAGCCCCGGCAGGAATATCTACATGGCTTTCTTCTAAAACTTGTGCGTCCGACTCGTCATCCTTTGTGTCACCGTCTAAGATTTCTCCGCTCTCCTGTTTGTTTGCTGCGAGTGTCGCGTCTATGCTACTCACGGCAGCTTTTGAGGATAAGTTAACTTCCTCAAACTCCCACTTTTCTCCCACAACCCCGTCCTTCACTTGATCGTTCACTTTGGCCAGGTCCTGGTGTGCAGATTCCGCAACGTTTACTGCATCATCGGTCGCTGCTAAAACGTCCTTCTCAGCCAACATTCGCGGCTCTACACGGCACACCAACTCCTCTTCACGTTTCTCAACGGATATGGCTCCATTTTCTTCCAGCTCGTTTAGCGAAGCCAGTACTAATTGACCCTCCTTCATTTCATCCGTTTCAGCGTCGGTTAGCTTCATAAGCAGAGATGCAATTCGAACAAGTGTGTCCACAAACTCTTCCTTGTTGTTGTCACTAAGGAATACCACGAGTGCTGCGACGACACGGTCATCGCGCGCTTTGACCATTTGCACAAGACGCTCTGCCCTATCGCGAGGTAGCTTTCCACATCGTGTCAACGCGGGGATCCAATCGACTACCATTGCACGGCAGTGACGCTCCCAAGCTGCCAATTCAACCAAGATTTCGAGCGTGTCCGCAAGTTCAGTCGTGTCTTGATCCTCTCTGTATACATCAACTGCAGCAAGTAAACGAGGATCGTGAGACTTCAACAGCAATATCAACAACTGAATCTGCCACAAATCTAGACGTTTGCTCGTTCCAAAATCCGCAAGTAGCTGTAATATAGCCTGCATCTCATCAACGGACTCGTCTTTCTCTTTCTCACGTCCAAAGCGCGCATGCTTCACCACTAGTAACAAAGTGTCTTCCAACTCGTGGACATCACCATCAGCGTGAAAAGCCTCATTGGCAGCTTGCAGAGCTTCGTTTTTACCACGAAACAATACCAAAAGTCCGGCGGCATCACCACTCTGTAACACACCGCGCTGCTGCATTGCGCGTACGACATCTTCGAGGTTCAGACCGCTGGCAGGCGCACCATCTAGACCAATTTGCTCACCCTGGCAGTGTTTAATCTGCCGCTGCAGTTTAGCCACACGTTGCAATGTATCCAAAAGCTCATTTTCATCACCATCACCTGCAAAGACCTCGTAAGCGCTCTCCAACAAGTTGTGTCGCTGATTAACCATTTGAAGCAACGCGGTCACATCAGCTGATGTTAGCTGTTGTTGCGTTTGCCATTGTCCTAATAGGAAGCTCAAGTGTCGTTGCCACTCGAACGAGCCACTGTTGTCGTCGCTATCTTCCAATTGATTCACTTCTCGAACAGCGTCATCCATACCATGTGCAAAAGCAGCAGCTGCTTTCTCCTCGTCACCAAGTTCCATTGTAATCTCCTCCACGATACTCACCAATGCATTTCGAAGTATCTTTACATCACCATAATCGCTTTGTTTAAAAACTCGCAGTATCTGCAATACTTGATAATCTTCTTGCTCAATCAGAGCCTTTAGAATATCCAACTCCAAGCTCGTCAGCAAGTGTTGAGCATGCAAAGAGGTCACGAGATCCACTTCAGAAGTACCAAAAGCGTTTCTTCCCCTTTTTTTACGAGCCAATTGCCTTGTTTGATTCCTTTTCTCAGACTTTTTCCTTTATTTTTCTTGCTTAAAATTGGCTTGACTGGTTCACAGCCGACTAGTGAAAGTCTCTTGGCTATTGTATTCAAGTCCACCATATTATCTCCATCATCAACACTATAGCTCTGTAGTGTTTTCCACAGGACTTTATCCTCATTTACAATAAGCTCCAATAAATTTGCACCGTGTTTCTCTGACAGCATGTGTTTATCCAGTAATTTTTCAATTATTGCCAATAATTTCATGGTTTCAATAAATTGATGGTACTTCATCACTTGAGACTTGCAAAATTTCTGTCGAATGTCATCAGCTAAAGCCAAAATTTGTATCTGAACCTGTGAACTTGAGCTTTTCATGCCAATAGAAACCACTTTCTTGGCCATGAGTTCCATATAAAGCACTTTTTTCGTCGTTTCCAAGTCATTAAATTGAGGTTTATTGGACGTTGAAGATTCGTGATCCTGTAACATCGGTTCGTCATGGAAATGTCTCAGCAGAGCCGACTTGTGGTCGGTTTCAAATGATTGCACCATTTGTTGCAATTGTTCCGTTTCTGTGTTGAGCAAATTTCCCTTTTGGGAGGTTGCCGATGGCATAAAAAGGACAGTCACGTGTCCAACAAGAAGTTGTGGGACTTGACACGCAACAGAAAGCGGGACCAGACGTGGCATTACTGAAGAAGGACGTTTTTTGTATCGATTGGAACGAAAGGATGACGACGGCTCGTACGTTACTTGGAAGCCACGACAGACATCATTGGGATGTTGCAAAGCTGCACGGACCAACAACTCAAGTTCCTGTGGCTCCATACCAGCGTAAAGACCGATGGTCGCCTTGGACGAAGCATCCGAGAGCTCCACATATGTGACGTCACTTCCCATGCGAACGAAAATGACTTGGGATTTGTATGGAAACGATCTAGTGGCAGAATAACGGATACTAGGTAATATGGTGTGGACGACGTGATTGTACCAATTTGTAGCTTTAATACCGGTATGAGGCAGCATATGACTTTTTACTTATATTATTATTTTGAATCTACTTACTACTTTTAGTAATACTTTTTTTTATATGATACACGTTGATGCGTAAAAATTAGTACACATATCAGTCATATAATACATGCACCCGGAACGAAAGCGCGAAACTGCTTGAATATTATAATACATACGATCATACGCTTGCAGATGTTCTTGTACATATTTTAGACCTGCTTGCAACAAACTGGTAGATTACATCGAAGCTCACAATTTGATTCCCGTATACGTCAATATGTAATTCTGGCATTAGAGGACTCAATTTTACTGATGTGGACAAGTTCCATTACCTGGCGCGGGAGTGTTTGGTATTTTGATATTTTTAGCTCACGATATAAGCACAAAGTATGAATATGTACATTTACGACATGTATTAACAGCGCTGACAAAAGGCTACATAGTTATATTGCCACATAACTTCCACTTGATTATTGACCACATCGTTGACGTCATGCACAACGTTAAAATCTACTCAGCAGGTCTTTTTGTCAATACTCAAGCGTATACAACATCGACGAGTTCCTATTATTGTTTGTTATCATGACCTTAGCAATAATACTAGACAAACTTGCTGCTCTATCCTTAAGATTGTCTGTTCCAAGGTACAACTCAACCAGCTTCAATCGTTTCAAAACCACTCATCGGCGCCAAAACACCGACGTCTTTTCATTTTCAGCATCATTTTACCACTGCAATAATCGCAGCTCTGATGCCGACAAACAAGATACGCTGACACATTCTCCGTGCCAAAGCTTTTATACAAAAAGTACGTCAGCGTCTGCTAGCGCATCATTTTCCTTCTCCTCGTAATTGTTCTACAAGATAGCCCGTCTTCAAATAGCACTAGCGTTCGCAGCAGTCGAGAATGGTCAAACTATACCACCCCTAGCTGATTCAGCAGCTTCGCACAAACTATTGTTTGTATTCTTTACTTTCGACATCATCGATATATCCATTGGGCGTCATGCAACACAATTTTCATCGTAATTTTCAGCTTGCTGGAAAGCCAAACCAAACGCTGCAAATTGTTAAAAGCTCTTGTAAGCAATATCAAGTGAATGAGGAGAACAGTCATAGTTGCATCTCGGGCTAGTACGTAGACACAATATTAAACTACGGCATATAAGGTCAAATGGTTGATTGTCTCTGTAACATGGCTTTGTCTACTCACTTTGATCTTCAGTTTGAGGCATCAACCATGTCGCGGACCAGCAAGTTCAGACGGTGAAATATACTTGTCCGTTTCATTAGATCACTTGAATTGATATCAAGGCGTTATACTGGTTAAACTGCTACAATCTCAACGATATCGTTTCCGAGGAACACACCTGACGAGTGGACGTGTCTGCATGACGCTGACCATGCCGGCCGTACATGCCAAATACGGCGTTACTATTCAACATGACGCTCATTTGATTGTGCGTCGTCAGGATTATAAACTTGAGAGATCCTTTCTATTCTTATCCTGGCCCTCTTCACTAAAGCGGCGTAACAATTCTTTACTTTATAATACGCTCTGAGCGCGCGGCCTCCGTAAGGTGTAGTAGGTAGCGACGTGAGTCAGTTTGCGTAACGCGCAAGACTCATTACTGTGAAGTTGCATCTCAGAACTGTGCAATAAGCATTGACATGACCTGAGATGGCTATTGGGCAACCTTCAGACCTCGTACAGAGCCAAAAGTGCCGCTTTGAAGAACCCAGCACGATTCTGAAACGTCACCACCGGCAATAAATCATATTTGTCTGAAAAGAGCGTGCTCGCACCTCATCGATGAATTGGCAGTGCGCCATCGAGTTACACAAGCTGTGTAGTATTCCTCTCCTATCCGAAAGGTTTTCGCTGGTGCTTTGTCTAGTCAACGTTGTGATAGATTGGGCTTAAAGAAGTTGAATGGTTACGAAAACCATAGCAAAAAAATCAAAACACCCCACACCCACACGCGTCGATTTGAGCTTTTGACGTTTATTTTCAGCTACCTGACGCGCGATCATTATTATCCGAAGAGATGCACACATGCTTACTAAGAGGCAATAAATACGAAGCTGAGGAGGAAGTACAGGAACCGACCGGTACATGTATTGTAAGCACAAGGAGGCTGAATCAATGAAGCTCCAAGAAATTGGACTTGCTAATAAAAAAGTGCAATCATTTTAACTGGTCTATGTGTGAGCAGCTTATGGTATAGGATTGGAGTGTCATCACCGGTGAGCTGTCGGGAAGGTGATACATCACGGGACCTTCAAGAATCATGCATCATTGTACAGGTCATGTGATAGTGTAAATAGTAAGGCTATGATATGACCTGTTCGATTATATACCAGCACTAGTATGAGACTCGGCGTATAATCTCATCTAAAAACTTAAACTATGGAGCCGTCAACCGAACTCGTTCGACCATACAGTGGTCATTCGGATTTCTTTGTGTGCTTACGGATACGTTGTCTATAATTCAACGGCTATTTTTCGGAAAGCTTCTGCCGTTTGGCGAAGAATTTTTGTATAGTATAATAATGAGAATTCTTGCTGGTATCTCTTCTATAGTGGAGGCTAAGGGCTACTTTGAAGGATAACATCTTAATTGAGCCATTAACAAGAACCCGGCCAAGCGCTTTTGCTGCTGACACGTTTTGTTTAACTTCATGTTTATAAGAAGCTACAGGGTATAGCATCAACCTTAAAACAAAGCGCGATGGTAAAAATTGGCGTGTAAATTTATATATATACTTGGCGACAACGACAACGACATTGAGTATCACCACGACCGAAGAAGTCTGCTAAACGACAGAGACTTGTCCTGATTCCTTCTAAGACCACGAGATGCCTTCGTCCGATCGAGTGTCTTCTGCTGCGTCCTGAAATACCCCCATTTTTCTTCAACATCTCTCCCCTCCGCTGTCTTCCGGAGGAAGTCAGTAATCTTGGTGTTGCACTCGGCCATCATGTTTGGATGTGCGGCTCGGAGCTCTGAAGAGGAGCAGAGGTCAGCCAAAACGTGTACGATTTCAATGTGCTCCATGGCCACCGCATTCTTTAATGCGCGAGTGACGTTTTGTTGTCGGAGGTTCACCGTCAAGAGAAGTGTCACGATGCCTGTCATACCTTGAGACGCGGCATCTTCAAGAGCTTGACCTACATAGTACCAGCTGCAGTTTTCACGCAAAATTACTCGTAAAGCGTCCGTGTCACCAGTACGTGCAATAGCTTGCACCCCGTTGGTAATCACGAACGGAGCTTGTCCACGATTGCGGCGGCACAGCCACTTCACCACATCAACATGACCATTTTCCGCCGCAGCGTTCAAAGCACAACTTGAACACCTCCTGACATAATGCTTGGAAAGCCACTTCACCACTTTCAAATGTCCATTTCTTGCCGCTCCGTCGATAGCAGCGGTTGTGCAGCCCTCACTTCGAACTACCGACAGCCATTTCACAAGATCGAGTCGTCCTCTGGTAGCAGAGCCATCCATTGCCTTTACAGTCCATCGTCTTGTAGCTCCATGCACACGAAGAATATATTGGCAGTCGTTGTAAACAGCAGCATCGATAGTCACCGGCATAATGAATTCATTAATCCGTTCAACTACATGAGAAAGTGCCTTGACGTGCTCTGGGAGGGCATGTGCAACACAAGTGAGCAGTATCATGGTCCTGCTAATTTGAAAATGAGCGTTCATATCTTGCATTCCTTATCTGCGGGACGAGGCGCTAATGTCTCTCATGTTTCAGCAACCCTATTGTACAACTGAATCGACGAAAACGTTAATCTCGATTTACTGTCGTTGTTGGTGCTGTTAATTGAAAAGCTGGTAGCTCTTGTTGGTCACTTGAACTATATTACTGGAAGCTATTGGTGAGACTACCGATACATGCAGGTCTATTTGGGCGTAAAAGCCTTCGTGATGGTCGTTTCTTCCGACCAAAGCTAACTTTTAAGGCATTATCAATCAGTGATCAAACTGGATTCCTTGTGCGTGGCACCATATTAAGGTTGGTTGTCAGTTTATGCGGGTATGGGGGGGGGGAGAAAAATTTGAGCGTCATGATCAGCGACCACGAAGTGCAACGTATTTGTGCCTGAAACGTCTGGTTGCATTGACATATTCACGTAGTGCTCGGGGCGCACAGTCGTCACCCTTATATTTCCAGCTGAAGCGCGATTGAAATCGAAGCTGCAGGACAAACGATACATTTGGAAACGGCACTGCGACTGCAGAATGAAGAGATCATCGCCGACAATTTGGTCAAGGCCCCCTCCATAGCAGGCCTCCTGATTTACTTGCCGACGGTCTGGCCTAATCTCTTGGACTAAATAGCGGAAGACGCTATCACGGAACAGCTTTGCCGCTTGTTTCCCGTGATTCTGTCCGGGATAGGAGCAAGATAAATCATCTTGCTCTGGTGGACACGATCACACCATGTGGCCTAGTTATCGTTCGTAAGGCTGACGATAAAGTCGGGTCTCAATGTTCGAACGAATTGCCAGAACACGATTGCTATGCGGACATCGATGCTGTGCACATAGTTTAGAAATTGATATCTGTATTGCCGATACGGGATGTGACCCAGATTTTGGAGTCCAAGTGTACGTGCGGATTTTCAAGAGAGATGGACGTCAAGATGCTGACGATACCTAATTGTCCGGGTCCGGAAATCGCTTTAATATTCATGTTCATTAGCGCTGGCACCTCGCCGGAATCCAATACAGATAACTGGTTTTTCGTCTTCAAAGACTTCCAGGATCCTGGTGTCGCTCCATTTTTTGCTATGTGAAACCTCGTCATAGTCACAGCCATCGTAATACAGTCTGTCACTTTCATTATCGCTTTGCTTTGTCATAGAAGAACTGGAGTAGGCAGTACGACTATGTCCATCTGCAAAAGCCTTCGAGGAAGAACAAAGGTGCTACAAAGGTGCTACAGAACCATCAGGCTTGTCTTCCACATCGTTCAGTGGGCGAAGAATTTGTCGGGAGAGCAAACTTGAAAAGGTTGAACACCATGATCACATCTCGTATTGACGCCACATGCCCAACATTGCTTTCCATATATTCAGTTCAGCAGCAGTCGACACTTGCAAAGGTAAGATCTCATTGTGTTTATTTTAATGTTTCTCTTTGCGATGGGTATAGCTGCCATCGATAATGACAACTCGACCAAAGCCAAGCTGGGGCGCAGCACTGGCAGCACCTGTATGGTGTCGAAGTATGCCGAATTCGACTAGAGTTCCAACTCGACGATGACTGTGGAAGAGTGGCAAGCGATTGAGCATTAGACCTTAAGCCGAGACGTGCTGACCACTCACTTGTTTCAGAGCTACATTTCCAGCTTTTTCTTCGACGAAACAATCGGAAGGGCCGCATTACAGCCTGATATATCGATTCACAACATATAATGTTTGCATTAGTTCGACTCATGGTTCAATATCTTGGACGACTATAACTTCGATCACTTTTATAGTTTTCTGCTAAGATCAGAGCAATCACTAATAATGTTACCGTGGAGCCTGTCAACAATCAACCAGACATTGTCGCTACCGTGCAATATCATCGATAAAAACCGCGCCTGACCGAAATAAGCATACCTCAGGTAATATAGGTATATGGCGTGAAGCTGACGACTACTCATTTTCGTAATTTGTAAGCAAGAACAAGTCTTGATAATAGTTTATAATCTTCCTTACTCGATACTACTATTTCATTCAGCACATTTGCTGGCTTCGTAAATATAAAATTGTTTGACAATCCCATGAATGTTTTTCTATAATGTGTGTAAGAACAAGTAGGTTTAAGCAAGTATTTTTCTATCATATACAATATTCCGAAAATGCCATTAAAGATTTGCGCAGCAATTTATTGCCGTTTTTTTATAATGTGTGGTGCGATATAAAAGTATTAGGCAAATGTTCTACCATTCCAATCAATACATTTGAGCAGCTATTATATTTCCAGAATCACCCTTGATTCCATCGCTTGTCGAGAAGTTGTGTCGTTGAAAACAACAGTTGTTGCAAAAGAACTATTTAGAACTGTCTTGTTTAGACTTCGGTGAGAACAGGACCTATGTAGGTAATATACATTAGCGGCAGTCATGATTACTACAGCGTTCAGGTCATTTGCTTGCTTTTGGACAAGCAAGGTAGACTTCGTGCCGTCAATTTGTTTCTTGCTTCAAGATCCTGGATTGATGCGACGTTTGTCCGGCTTCTACGACGAAGGGCGGCTAGATGAAGCACTTGATATCGTATAAAATCTGTTTTTTCCTATCTGCGCTACTGTCGGGCTTGCATGAGTCTGCCTCGTATTTGTGCACCGAAGACTGACGCAACCCGGACATTTCTGATTCAATTCCACTGTTTGCGATCCATGTTGCCATCTGGAGCCGAGTCCAGCGCCTAATGCACATCAGCGGGACATTAAGAGCAACGAAGATTTCTGCTTAGCAAGCTGTTTGATAATGCTTTTTAGATACGGCCAACTTTACTACAAGCGACATAGGCAAGTGGACCGTTTAGTGAGTTAAATCAATAATGATAACCGGCCTTTCAAGCAGCTTGTTTGTAAACTCGTGGAAGGTACAGATACACGAACTACCCACATGTTGTAGTGCATGCATGTCGTCTTGTATGCGTTCGTAGTTTTTAATGATAAATACCTCTGTGCTCGGGCAGATCGCAGGTGTCGGTGCCTCGCATCGCCTTGTACCATTCATCTGCTCTGCGCTGAAGCCGAGCCGCTAAGATGTCTGTCGGTGCAAGCGCTGGTCGTCGGCGTTCAGTTGATCACGGTCTCACCAGATAAAATTTCCGACTGATCTTGTACGGTTTTTGACGCATTTGTGGTGGCGCTCAGCACGTTGAGCGTCAAGCGTGCTCCGTCAACTTTTTCGTCAATATATTATCATCACACATTCTTTTTCGGTAAAGCCAAGAGCGGTTTTGTAAAGCGTAAGACACTGAGACTCATACAAATGGCCGCACAAGACGGTGTAGTGAGTAGCACCGTGAATCACGAAGGCAATGAGGATCAGGATTCGGCTGCTAGCTCACAACAATCGATCAAGAATTCACTCTGCTTTATCTTGGACAATGAAGTTGTAACTAGCAAGCGTACCAGTAGTATCGATCAACTGGATGGAGTTGATGAATCGACCGATGCCAAACGTAACAGATCGTTGGTATCCGCTAACAATATCAGTAGTTTATTGGCGCCGGTCGCCTCAATTGTCGATGAAAAGGCAGCACAGAACACTAATGTAACAACTCCGCCGTCGGAACGAAAGGTACTTTGATCCGTGTGACTACTAAACGAGTTCTGATACTTATGGTACAATCTCTACAGGCTAGCAGATACTGCATTGTTGAAGGCTGCAATAGCCGAGCCAAGCATGCGCGACGCTGTTGGAAGCATGGTGAGCAATGTGCTGCAGTGAGGTTGAGGTGTACTACATGAACTAACGTACACAATTGCAGGCGGTTCGGTGAAATGCAAGATTGTTGAGTGTCAGAATCGCGCCAAGTCCAAAGGCGTGTGCTGGTCACACGGGGGCGGAACAATTTGCAGTTCAGATCAGTGCTTGAAAATCGCTGTGTCGAATGGAGTCTGCTGGGCCCATGGTGGAGGTAAGTCTGCCGAATTAACTTTCTCACCTTCGTATACTAAAACAGGTCTGTTATTTCCTGGCAGGAAAGCGTTGTGTGACGCTGGGGTGCTTTCGGCCCGCGTTTGAGCGGACAGGGAATTTGTGCCCGATGCACTACAACGCGGGCTCATCCACTAAGTCTGCACCATCTTAAGAGTACAGTGTAACGTTGGATCGCTCGTAAGTTGGCTCTCGGCTAATCTTATGTAGTGTGTATCTTTCTAAGAAGTAGCTTCCCGTGATTCTCTCTCTCTCTCATGCAAAATTTCTGCCTGTACAGTGGTGTTTTAACGATGCAGATGATCATGATGAGCTAATTTTGCAGTTTGGCGAGATGAGCATGAGCACTGGTTCGACTTTAATGGTCGCTCGTCGAGACTGCTGTCCCTACCGAATATTAATTAGCTCTACGTGTACATCATCGCGAAAGCGGTGGTGGTTGATGATTAGAAGCCTAGCGGTTCCATCGCAATTGTAATATTCGTCAATGAGTTAAGAATTGTAGATCGGTGTATGTTATTGCATAAGTCGTTCATTCCAGGCTCACTTTGACGGAACGATTTAAGCTTTACCATCTTGTCGATACCAGGCTCATCTGCGTTCTCCAAGCGACTCTGCTGCATCATCTCGTCCAGCTTGACCACTACCTTGGCATTATGTATTTGCCATCAAGCTTGATTCCCTACGTTTCTTCGTCTAATCGGGTAGCAAAACTACGCCTCCACTGCTAAATAGGCGTGCCCAACAACGTGGACATAATCTATTTAATATCGAAATATCAAGTCGAAGCTGTCAAATCTCTCGCACGATCACGAATTGCGACTCGTACACGACCAGTTGACGCTGGAAAGGTAAAAAAGAACAGTTTTCTAACATTTCTTGTCATGTTTTTGGGCTTACAATAATTGAGTCGCTTTAAGTTGAATGTTCCAGTATCAATCAATGTTTACGAGAAGCTGTGGCTTGCACGGCCATTAAATTCCACCTCTTACTAGTGCTACCAAGACGAAGGATCACCTGTTGCGTGGTCCTTTTGGTTAAATGCGGCGAGAAATTAATTGTTGCAGGGTGACACTGGGTGTTTATACAAACTATTAGCAGCACATCACACCAAGCGAATGTCTTGGTGAACAACTAAAAAATTGGCAAAAAAGGAATGTTGTTAAAAAAAAGGAAGGCTTTGCGTGTCATCCATCAGCTTGAAGTCACTGTGATAGCCATCCTCGCTCAAAAACAACGGTAGACCAATGTGTCAAACGGATCCCGGAGGCCATTATATGTCATGTAAGAGAAAGCGAAGTGAAACGAAGCAACCACTCGAAATATCTCCACAGTTCTCAAAATTCCAAATCATCCATTCAATTCACATGCGTCCACTTGCTTGGCAACACGGCTTCCCCCGACGCTTGTCAAAGCACACCTGAGATCTCCAGTATTGACGCTCTCATCCATCCTACTTCTATTCTTTCCATTCGCTAAATTTGGTCCTAGTATGTACACAAACCGCTCATTTGACTAAACAGATCCGCTGTACACAGGCTGTTCCTCAAGATCAGCATTATGATGCCTTCGGCCGTGAGGTCCATGCCAATGTCCATTGGATTTGCCGTTTCCGTGACTGTGGCTGTGGCCATGCTCAGTAGTCTGTCCGTTGGTGAATCCGTTTGCGTACCCAGTTGTAAGCCCAATATCACGGTCGCTTGATGATGTATACTGCAATGGGGTATGCTCGTTTTCGTGGTCTTGGAAGCTTTTTTGATTAAAAGTATTGTACGAACGGCCTTGCGGTGACAGTGGCATAAGCGCACCAAAATGACCCGTCAAATGTGCACGACGACTCGGAGTAGCGTGCGCTGGATCATCCGGAGCATCGACTTCTCTTTCACCATGTTTTGCCAGCAGGTAAATGCCAACGATAATAACTAAAGGAATCACAACAATCCATCGTTAGCAAATTAACGTTAAGGGACACTGACATATGAATAGCTTACACGCTAGTGCGATCGGTAAGCAAATCCAGTCAAAAAGCAAGAATCGCATGTACTTTTCGTAGAACACCACGCCACCAATGACACTGGACTAAGTTGACATGACAATACATAGAACAGTGTCAATTTTGTAATAGTAAAACATTCTTACCATATAACAAGAATTGTAGACCCACCCCAATCCAGAAGCATTGGAACATTGGAAAAACACTGAGTGTATCTCCACTCATAATAGCACGATTCAATAAATCCGTTTGTAGTATCAGCGTACAAATCATACCGCCCATGAACAAGTACGTCGTACAGTAGACGAATTGATTATCTCCACTGCACGTTAATATAAGCAGGATCGATGCACACTATTGAAGAGAATAAAAAAGAGAGGCATAGTAATAAAAAGTTAAGGAAAAATAATCATCATCACATCACCCCACAACACTATCTTTTGTTCTTGTCGTACCTTGGCTAACAACACCGAGAAGGAGCCAAAGATACCTGACGCCGTGGCGTACATGAAAGGCAGTAACCTGTACTTGGACTCGTTCTGTGCTCTTGGGAGTCTCAATATAGCTTCAATCTGTCCAAAAATGCTGACTAGGACAGCTGTCTGCAATTACAATTCAGAACATTTTTGTCCTTTAGATATGATAATCAGTTAATTGGCTTACATGTCTCAGTAATGCTCACCATAACACCAAGATAGATAAAAAAACCAAGCTGAAAAAACTGTTTCTCCAGCTCCACAAGTGACATTTGCTCGTCTGGTTCGTTGGCGACAGTACTAAGTACGACGCCTATAATGATAAGCAACGTACCCAGCACATCTGTCTTGGTCAGGATCTGCCCCAACCACAAGTGGGCGAAAAACACGTTGGCCAACACAGTAAAACCGCCACCTACTGCTGCTACCAGAGCCTGAGGAGCAAAACCTAGCGCCTCAAAGTCCCCAATCGCACCCAGAGCGATTAAGATCAAGCCAATCAGCCATAATGGACGGGTGTAGTATGTCTGTCGCTCTAACACGGGCTTCTCTTCCTCCTAACAAATAATAAGCAAGGCCACAAAAATTACATATTAGAGGTTCAACTCAGCTACGTATATCATGTATCTCGAGTGCGCACTGAAGTTATATCATGTATCTCGAGTGCGCACTGAAGTTATATCATGTATCTCGAGTGTGCACTCGATGCGCATCGGTAATTAAGAGGGTTAGGGTCGGTCGTACCCGCACGTGAGAGAGCTTCTGCACGTTCACGCCGAGATTGGAGAGCACAGCAGAGGCAATAACGATACCCAGGCCAATCCATTTACCTTGGACGTTGTCTGCGTCATCGTCGGTGACGACTGCAGCGCTCAGGAAGTGCACCACGTCTACCATTGAAAGCCAGCAAAGAAAAGCACCTGGTCGTTCTATTGTAAAGTATTTTGTAGGTCTTTTAAGATCTGAGTGCAAAACTTGATCTTTTGCGGGAAGGGATTGGACCGTTGAAAGGGCGTCAAAATTCAAAGTGACAATTTTATCCGAACAGAGAAATTGTTGTCGCAATCGATGCATCGAAAGTATCCAGGACAATGTCGCGCCTTGGCGAATGGCCACAAGATTCTCTATGCTCAGCAGCAGCCAATGATAGACGTATGTTACAATACTTTGTGGTGTTGTGCATTGGTAAGACTCTTTTTGTAGTTGCCGTCTCTTTGGACGCGAACACGTAGTTAAAAAAACACGCAAAAACTCGAGCCTTTTATTGAATGTGATGAATACCATTTTCATCGCAGTGTCGTTGTTTAAGCTATAGTTGCAGTTTATGATTGAAAAAAGCAGTGACAGAACATGTGCTGCTATGCAATAGTAATAATAGGAAGTCGGATCATCAAAAAAGAACAAACTTGACACTGGAGTATGCTATTTTGTAGGTAGCAACAATAGTGGGCATATAACTTGACGGTGGCTTAGGGACCGGCTCATGCTGTCCGTCATCGCAATGGTAATTATGTTGTATACTTTGCACTGCCGCAGTTGCTGCACCTCGACGCACACTTGGCTTCATGGTTTTTTGACCACATTTTTGAACGACACATCGGTTGCGCTTTTTATAAACTCTCATTTGGAAGTAGGAAACACAACAGTGAGATAACTGTACTAGGCTTCGTCCAAAAGGAACTATTTTTTTACGCTTGCCCAGTGATGTCAATGTCGATTGCGAGCTCAATCCACTTGAATTTACGCAGCGCATCACAACTTTTGGCTTCCAGCTCTTCAACTAATGGAGATCGACAACTCAGCAAACATGACACACCTCTCTCATTATAGAAGGTGATGGTACATTGGGCTTTTCATCTTTTTGAGCAGACACGTTTCATACTTATTCGAAAATCAAAGTCGTTGCAGATAACTCAAATATATGGGAAACGTTTGTATAGTGTTTACTGTTGCGGAGTGTCAACAAGTGCAGCACTGCTGCGTCTAGATAGTCATTGTGCAAGTTATGAGGATATTTTTTTACCCTTATTCTCTTCGATAGAAGAGTTACTCCGACCAAAAAGCCGTTGAGCTGTTGCAATAACATTGGTCGCTAAGATTACAGTCCACAGAACATGACTTACTATGTAAGAAAATCACATATAATAGGGAGGCGCTATTCGTCACGCAGACATCACACACTTCAGACCTATCAAAAATTGATGTTCAGCACCCTCGACGTCGATAGCAAACAAGACGAACTATAACAATGAATAGCCTTGCACCACCTCCGCATCTTATATATGCATCCCTGGAACAAGCAAGAGCCGCAATTAATACTCATATACAGCAGGAAGGTTGTGGTGTTATGATCAAACGCACAAAAGGATCGGCAATTAGAAAGACGGTGAGGTCAAAGTTTATTCTAGTCTGCTTGACCATCTTTGGATTGGCTGTCCTAGAGGCAAGTATTTACAGTCATATTCACGTTTAGATACGCGGCCGGCCAACGGGGTCACCACAGCGACTTCTGTAACAGTTTAAGCATAGCCGCTGCTTAAAAGCTCCTGTGCAACGCCGGCAATGGCGGATTTGCCAATACACTAGATACAATGCCCGAACATGCCGTCGTCAAGCACCAGCACCAGCACCAGCGCAGTAGATCTAGAAGCAGTAAATTCATGAAAATCGTGACAATTTTTTAATGAGGTGTTCCGTATGATAAAATGAACACCCTGTAGATTGCATTTTCGTACACATCCGAAAGTTCTTCGTCTTTAATACGCATTGCTTCAAAATTAAATTATAATAATGTGGTGTTGCAGGGGTCCTTCGAACAGAGACAGTGACAGGTACCTGTGCGCCAAAAAATTAATCTGGTAAGGCATTTTCATAAGACACGCAAACCCCCCTTGATTGCAAAGAGTAAATGGTTTTAAATTCACTCGAATATTTTTTCTTAGCCTAATGTTGACTACGTCAGTTGAATCCTTCCATCGTATCCAGAGAAAGCAGTCACAAAGTTTCACTTCCGTTAATAACCTTAATAGAATCGGGCTTTCAAGAGTTAGTCTGTTATGAGGAAGCATGGTCAAATTGATTCTGGCAAAGCTTCGTTCATCGCGGAATCGTTCTGCTGGTTCGGTTATAATTTTTTCAAGGCTTGTTGCAGTTTTGTAGCTAGAGATTTTATCCATTTGGTCGATGCCGTGCTTCCCTCATTTAGAACCCGGTCCAGATTTTCCTTGTAGACAAGTTTAAGAACAAAGAGCATCGTCTTAGTTGCTTCTTTATCATGCGACGATATTGACCTGACGTAGTGGACCCACGCGGAGAAGACCGGGTTATCGAAAAGTCCGCTCTCTATCAGGTGGAGATCCAAAATTCTGAAAACGTCGGCCGCAGAAGTCTCACCTTCTTTCCACTTGACGAACTGGTAATTAAGTAAGTTTCGGGCAGTAACTCCCAAACGAGGGGTAACTAGCGCGCCAACTAGCGCACTTATCAGAGCATTCATGCTCTTGTAATTAGATAATAAATGCTCGAGCATCACCTTGTATGCCTCTTTCGGGAACAGCTTTAGTTTCTTTTCGACAAAGTTGACCCAATGAAAAAAGAGTGGGCTTTTCAAAGGGTCATTCGTCTTGCCGAGCTCCAAAAGCTTATATACTTCGTCCTTATTTAGATTGCTGCTTTCCCAATATTCGATCTGGAGGTCTAGCAATTTGTTAGCAATCTTTCCATTGGTCCGTAAATTTATTGCCAAAAGTAGAGCACTGGCGAGAACATGATCGTATAAGAAATGACTTGCCAATACCTCGAATATCACCTTATCTTCTTGACCTGGTAACAACTTTCCTATGTAGTCCATCCAGGCAGCAAAGACTTTGCCTTTCAATATATTGGGACTGTCTTTTACTTTAAAATACCCGATCTTGATGTCATTAATTAACTTAATCTTGTCATTCTTCTCAATTTCATTTAGATTTTCAAACATATCTGGTCTGAACTTCCTCAGTATGCCTTCAATATCAACTGTTCTCTCATCGAGATTGTTGTCAAAGTAATTCGATGCCATGTTCGCGTCTGAGACCGAGTCTAGGGTGTAAGTAGTATTCAATGTAGTATAGTCGTAGGTGGTGCGCATGTCTTTTTCATGCATCGCGGAGGCCATGCTCGCAGCTGACCAACCGATCAGCGCTAAAACAATTAGCATCGTCGTGGGCTGCGCTTAACGCAAGTGCACAGAGGTCTGGCAGGCAAAATGTAAAGTGGGAAGGCTGGGTGTGACCCCGACTGGCTGTCGATACCTTGAATTGGTTGGAAGGGCAAACATCAACACCGCCAAGATCGCCTGGCTATTCTTTAAGGTATTGGCCTTTTTAGCTGTACCACGGAAGTATCTCAAGGGACTGAGCACATCGGAAACCGTATCATTATCGTCAATACGTAGAACAAAAAGCAGTGTTTACATTCTTCATGGATAATACTAGAGCTGATTATTTCTATGTCCCCTTCTCGTCGCCGACCCGTTCTCCGGTCGCAATCCTATACAATCCACGCCATGTCAGTTCGCCATCTCGCCTGGCTTTTCTTGAGGGTGTTGATGTACCACGGAAGCATCTCACCGCGCTACGGCAGAGACGAGGGAACGGCAGCTGCTTCCTCTATGGCCCACTGTAGGGAAGTACTTAGAACAACAACGTGACGCTGTGGATAAGGATTGAATTTGCTTGTAGGTACAACAGTTGTATACCAAGTGCAGCATTTGTATACCAAGTACAAAATTTTTATAATATTTCAGAGGGTTTTGTGTATTCATACTAAAGAATAGAAAGTACCAACGTGGAGCGATTCGATTTGATTAGCGTTCTTGTAGCGGAACTACGTAGCTGTTTTACAGTCAGAGGGAAGTCTTATAAACTAAAATTATAAACGGTTTCTAAGTAAAGCCTTCTAGTTGTAAAGAATCAATCGAAGATTAAGGCTTGAAGCCACTTAGCTTTAAGGTTTTCATACAACGACTACGAAGTTTACCCATTCTGTAACGAGGTTACACGACGGTTGTAGCGTCTTTCCGAGAGTTTACGTTGAATTCCCCGTTTATTGCATATAATGCATTTTTGATACCTCTCTTTAGAGAGGTATTAAGTATACGCGTTAAAGATACGGTGTTCGGTAATACCGTATCTTATCGATTAGGATTCGATAACCGATAAACGCTGTACTAAGTACATCGTACACAGATGTTTCGACGATACGTCGTCCAATAGCAAAGTCTGCATATAATAATTACTATTATAGTAATTAATCTAGTGTAGTGTACTTAGAGTAGGACTATTCATAAAATCTTAAAGCATAAATATAATCAGTTCTCCTTTTGAGTTTAAGATCGCAAGTCGCTCTGACTTGTTCTCTTGTGCACTTCGTGCGTTGGTTCTCTGAACCTCTAAGCTTCTAGCTTGCTCTTGCACTCTGTGCGTTGGTTCTCTGAACCTTAAGCTTATTGCTAGACTGACTAAAGTTTCTTTCCTAGTTCCTTAGAACAGGGTGACTTTAAGTCGTTTAATTAGTTCCTTAGAACTAAGCGGCTTTTAGCCTTAACTCTATTTAGTTCTCTAGAACTAAGAGGCTTCCAGCCGAAAGTCTTCCTCTGGCTAAAGAGCTGTGCAGCTCCGCTACACTTGGTAGCACTTGTAGTCAATCCTACACCTGAGTCTTTAAAGACTGACCCTCTGTGAGGATGGAGAATCAAAATCACCTCTCTGAGGCACAACGACTTGCGATGAATTACCTGCATTTGTTGGGCCCGATCAAATCGAGGCCCTTTTGGCCCAAGGCCCGGAGGTTTTAATGCTCGCCTTGAGGCCTTTATGCGTTGTGAAGCAACGCTACTTGGGCAGGTCCATGACCAGGCAGCGTCAGCTGCGCCTACACAGTACATTCCGGTACCTGTGCCCGATGCAGAGCCAAAGGCTCGTCCACTTGTTTTAAATGTAAAGACCTTCGAGGGGAAGGAGGGAGAGAACCTTCTCCTCTGGATCCGAGAAGTTGAAATGGCAATGGATGCCGCCATGCTTGTATCCGATAAGCAACGAGTTGGCTTGGCCATTTCAAAGCTCGGTGGAAGAGCTAGAGAATGGGCTCTAACGAGCGATGTCTCTGTAAATGCCGCATTTCCCACATGGGAAATGCTTAAAAAGCAATAAACTTGTGTGTTTGCACCTCCTAATCAGGCTTATCGTGTGCGCTCACGCTTCCAAGCTACCCGACAGGGTAAGAAAGAATTGTCGGACTATGTCCAAGAGTTGAGAACTCTCATTGCTGCTATGCAGCAGGACCCACTGGCAGAGGAAGTCCGAGTAACCATTTTTATGGAAGGACTTCGCACTGGGGTCGCCAGGACGGAAGTTTTCCGCGTCCAGCCCTCGGCTTTCGAAGAGGCCGTAAGCATATCGTTTAACGCTTACTTTACTTTCAAATCTGCTCGCTATGGTCTGTCCTGGTATCAATCAAATACCTCTAACAGGGCGGAGCCCATGGACCTCATCCATGCTGATGAAGCTGAGCTTCAAGCTGCTGAGCAGCAAGGTAACATCCGTAGATGTTATATGTGCGGAAGCACTAGGCATCTCCGCCCTAGCTGCCCGTTGCAAAAGCAACGTTCAAATCGGCAAAGCCGAAACCCTGCTTCTAGCCCGCAGGAGAAAACGTCAACTCTCAGTAGGCGCGGGGCGCCCTACTGGGAAAGAACTAAGTTCTGCTGGATCTTTAGGAGGTAAAGGTAAACAGGGCTTAGCCCCAGGTGGTTCTGTGGATGCTCCCATAGAACAAGATTACAAGCCAGGCTTGTTGGTTGTGTCGGCAACCGTTAAGGGTTTTAAGAAACCATGGTCAACTTTTATTGACTCAGGCGCGTCAGGTAATTATGTCCGACGTCGTTCCCTTGAAGGGAGTAAGCTGTATGCTGAGGCGCTAGAAGCGCAAGAGGGTGACAGTATAACCGTGCGTCTCGCGACCGGTGTACGTGTCACCGTTCCTAAAGTTCCGTTGAACTTAGGTGTGAAGTTCTTAGACTTCAATAGCGTTGAACGCTGTCTTGTCCTAGATTTGGACTCGAGATATGATCTTATTCTCGGTATGGCCTGGCTGGAACGCCATGAGCCGTGGATCGATTGGAGATCCAAAACTTTAGGCGCAACGCGCAATGTTCCTAGCGAAGCTTTGGAGAGTCATGAACCCACCTTCGCTAGGAAACAAAAGTGCTATTGGCGCGAGCCATTAACTGATATAGTTAGTGTGCTGGACATTGGAGTGTCTGAGTTAATAAACTCCGATGTCAACAATAATAGTGTCAAGCAGAGCTCAGTGACACTTAGTGGAGCGGCCCGTACTCCGTTGAGTGATACTAATAGTAATATTGAGACACTGGATGTCGGTAATGACATCGGCTCTCGTATAGAGCAAGTGAAGGTCGATGACCTTGTTAGTGAAGTCACTGGTACTAGTGACCCACTTGGATGTCCATATTTACATCGGCCCTCGCATAGGGCAGGTGAATGTCAAGGGGTCTGTGACCTTGGGGATGATAATATCCCAAGTACTTTAAAAAGTACGGTCTCTTCAATGAGACGGCAGCGTCGCCAGATGATGGCTGCGAGACGCAAAGCGTCTGTTTTATCGCATAGTGATGTCAGTGACCAGTTGTACACCCTGGTCAACGGAGTGACAGGTGATGTAGATGGCGAGGTTGACCTTAAAGACCTCCCATCATTAAATGCTCTTTTAGAGCTAGACGAAATGTCTGTGGATGAATTTCATCAGGCCTTGAAGGCAGGTGCTCTATCCGATATGGTGGTCATTCGACCTAACCTCGAGCTGAACTCATCCTCGCTTGTCGATGAGACAGTCCTTGAAGATACAAAAGCGACACTAAGTGCACGTACTGGGGTATCTATTCTGAAGGACCCGTCAGATCCCTACTATCCTTTAGTTAAGGAATTTCAGGACGTGGTGTGTCACGATCCACCGTCGGTTCTACCACCTGATAGGGGTGTACGTCATGAAATTGACTTTGTTCCCGGAACCAAATACTGTGTAACACGGCAGTGGCCTTTACCCAAAGAACAGTGTGACGTCATTGACGAGTTCTTTCGTGCAAAGCACGCGGCGGGCATGGTGCGCGAGAGTAAATCTCCGCACTCGACACCAACTTTCTGTGTTAAGAAACCGAATGGTAAATGGCGTATCGTTCATGCTTATAATAAGCTCAATGCAGCCACTATACCTGCACAGACGCCAATACCTAGAAAGGATGTTCTTCAGAACAATATGGTCGGTTGTACCAGGTACAGTGCGCTCGACTTAGTCGATGGTTATTACCAATTGCTCATGCGAGCTAGTGATATTCCGCTTACTGCTGTTAGAACTCCGAGCGGTATGCTCTGGGAGTGGTTGGTGATGCCCCAGGGGCTATCTAATGCTCCGGCTACGTCTAACCGTTTGGTGACGCAATTGTTTCGACCCCATCGAGGTTATGCACAGACGTACTTTGATGACATTTTTGTCCATAGTCGAGCTGAAAATGGGCGGTTAGATATTGAGATCCATATTGTTCATTTACGAGCTGTGCTCGAGTGCATGCGCACTAATAAACTATATGCTAATGCATCTAAGTGCATCTTCGGGGCCGAAGAGATTCCCTTTCTAGGGTGCTTCATTGGGAAACGGGGACTAAGAGCGGATCCCGCCAAGGTCAAAGCCATAGTCGATTGGCCTGTTCCACAGTCTCAGAAGGACTTGCGTAAATGGCTTGGCCTTGCCAATTACTTACACAAGTACAGCGAGAATTACGCTGATATGGCTCGGCCGTTATCCAATCTCCTTAAAAAGGATGTGGAATGGTAATGACAGGCCGAACATGAGAATGATTTTCAAGCGGTGAAGGCTAGCCTTCTTCATGCTCCTATTTTGGCTTTGTCAGACCCTGACCGACCGTTCAGCGTCGTCTGTGACGCGTCAAATTTTGCCATTGGCAGTGCTCTGTTACAAACAGATGATGAAGGCCGTGAGCGTGTGATCGCTTTTGAATCTCGCCAGCTGAAAGCTGCAGAAAAGAACTATCCAGTTCATGACAAATAGCTACTTGCGATGAAGTATGCCCTGGTCAAATTCAGAGTTCATCTGCTGGGATCAAAGCCTTTTGTGATTTATACC